TGAACGATGTTATCTTTTTCGGATTAAAGCTTAAAGCTTCCTATTTTTATTAATGTACGTACAATTTTCTAATAATTTTAATATTTAATATTTACTGTAGTTTATTTCCGTATAATTGCAATGAACAATTAATGTAATTGCAATGTGCAGTTATTGTAACTGCAATTACGTTTTTAGTCAGTAAACAAGTGGCGCTACGAACTATATTTTTGTAAAAGAAATAAATTTAAAATAAATAAAGAAAAATTAAACGGTGAAAACTTCTAAGAAGTAGAAGTAGTTCTTTATTATTTGGCCAATGATGTACATACAGCAGTGTTCACAAAAATAGCAGCGCGTAATTGTAAGTATTTTTTACAAAAAATATAGGCACTTTGGCGAAAAAAATAAGACATTTTTAAAAAAATTGCGGGTAGCATTTTACAGGCCTTTAAATTTTAGTATAATACAGTGCACATTTTTGAACTTTTGTTTTAATATAGCCACGCCCATTTCTAGAATATTCTTTGATTGAAAAAGTTGTGATACAAATGTTGTTAACGAATCGATATTCTGCCGAAATCCGCAATAAAATCTGCGATTTGCAAACTTTAGTCCTACAATTGCCACGCCCATTTTGAGGGGTTTGTCGCCTTAAAGAAAAATCTTGCCGTACAAATATTATACCTGGATAGGTATTCTATCGGATTCTGCAATAAAATTTAAATCCTTGCAAAAACTCGATGTTTAACACCTTACTAAATATATCTCAACATAAGTTTTGGAAAACAAATTACAAAAAATTGTTGATTCTCACAAAATAAACCATCTCGTCATAAAGAAAAATATTCTAAAAATAGTTCTTGAAAAACCCCCCTCTTTTGAACCACGTTTTTTATAGAGAATTAAACAAGGATTACGATGGTATAATTTTAAATCCCTAATTTACTTTAGGCCAATTTTGACCATCTTATAAATAGAAATATGTAGCATTTATTTCTTTAGCTTTAAAACGAGATATAACAATTTGAAGGAGCGAAAAAGCGAAAAAAAATTCCTCGAACACGTGTTAGCTTATTTCNTAGGCCAATTTTGACCATCTTATAAATAGAAATATGTAGCATTTATTTCTTTAGCTTTAAAACGAGATATAACAATTTGAAGGAGCGAAAAAGCGAAAAAAAATTCCTCGAACACGTGTTAGCTTATTTCATGTATAGAACCCATAAAAAAAAATTGTAAGCCAATCGAAAGTGTGACACCAAATTCGGTGTCCGATATGAAAAACAATGTCTCATATGGAAGAAAATGCCTAGTACCCCCAGAAAAAAACCTATTAAAAATTCCGCGAACTCGTAACCACTTGCACTTTATTATACTAAACTTTAACGGGATATAAAACTGCATACATATTACAACAATTTTGTAGAAATTTAATACTTTTTACAGAAAGTTTGAAATTTGGTTTTGTATGGTTTTTGATTTAATCAACTAAATATTTTTATATGAAAATATAAATATAAAAAAGGTATACTAGTTCTGTGCATTTAACGATTTATGTAGCGAAAAAGGTACTTTTTTCGTATACATAAATGCAGTATTTTGGAAAAAACCGCAGTATCCTTTTTTGGAACCACAAAAAAGTATAGATACGAGCATAATGAATACATATAAAGTAAAATAAAATAGTTTTTCGAAACCTACCACATTTCCTTGCTTTTGAAATTCATAAAATATTAATTAAATTATGATTTTATTATAAGAATCGCTGAATTATTCTCCAGTCGCATTTGATACCTTATTGCGGTTTCTCTCTCACATTGGCATAGAATTACGAACGTTCAGCGTTCACTTCCTAATTTATCAAAAAAAAAAAAACACATACATACTACTATTTATGTGCATGCAAATATGTTTATGATATTAAATTCCATTTGTTTGTCATATATGTTGCTACAAAAACAATTATTTCGCTGCTTAAATAAAACGTAAACAACATTTAATGCGCAGTCTATTTATTACACACACACACACAAATATAAGCAACAACAAATTTGAAGCCTATAAGCAAACTAATCAAAACAACAAATATGGATAATAATATCTGCGAGTCAAGTGCAATTCTTTTGAAATTCCTTATTTAAGTACATGTTACATGCTATGTATAGTATGTGTACTAAGGCAAATTAAATTGAAATCGACTTCAAAGCTAATCACAATTTGTATTTGTATACACTTTTCTACTTTTAGCTACATACATAATTATTTGCATACATGCACCTTTGTAAGTAAACAAAAATAAATCAGCGATACACTGAAAAGAACAACAACAACAAACACTGTTCGCCTGCACCTCAGTTTGCATTGCAGGCAGCTGCAACTGCTTGCAAAAAAAAAAGACGGAAATCAAGTCATAGCAAAAACAAATAAGCGATCCCCGTCTATCGCTTTAAGCACTTGTGTCATCGCCAACGTTATTGCCTCCCAACACTTTTACCACCGCCACCCACCTATTTTGAGAAATAAACAAAACAAAATTATGTCAACAACCCGCTCTTCTCTCAATGGCAATGCCAAGTGCTGCTAGTATTGCGGCTGTAGTTGTTGTTGTTATTATTATTATTTTTATTCTCGCTGCTGCTTGTGCTGTACCCCCTTCATTTCTAGCCCGTGACATTCAACACACACAAAGCAATCGTAAATTCTGTGTGGTAGACTGGTTGAGGGAGGACCCTGTAATGATATGCCGAGCCCTCCACTAATAAGCGTGTTCTGTAGATGTACTGATTGAACAACATCTGACGACATAGAGCGTTAGTGACGTACATACATACGTATGTATCTACATATCTGGGAAGTCGCCAAGCATATACTTAACACTAGTCTTAATGCTACGCAATAAAATCGTTGTTTTTTGTTTACTTATTAACAATTCCGAAAATATTTTTGAATTTAAAGTGTTTCATGATTTGCGCAACGAATAGGAAAATAAAATAGCTGGGTGAGAGTAATATATGTACTTACATATATATTTTGTCTTGTGATAAAAAGGTATAATATACATTATTATTGTTGAACACCCCTATGTATTTCCTGAAATCAAAAAGTAAGTACTGTACGGAAACTGAAACTGAAACGATTGCTTATCTAGCTTCCCTACAATACTTCATACACTGTGAAAATTTGGTCAGTGTAGACTTACCAGGTCAGAAGGAAGGCCTAACCAGTTGGTTCATCTCTCTTCTTGTATATTGGGCTTTGAGGTTTTAATCTTCTGGCATGTATTCATCAGACCAAATTGTCGCTTATCCCTTTGGTATTGCTTATGACCCTTCGTACACAAGGCTACGCAAATCTTCGATACTAATTTTCTATACCTGCCGTCGCAAGTATCTCTTAGCGCATACGCCTTTGAATCGTAATACTCGAGTTTCTATTCGGCTATCCGAACCTCGCTAGGTCGAACCTTACCAACAACGATCAGCCTCTCCATTGCAGGAGGCGTATTTGTAAAATTAAAAGGAAAAATAAAAACACATTTCCGCCTTTTTTTTGAGAATTCCATTGAGTTCCAACTACTCAATTTTGGCTACTTTCTTTCGTTTATTTAATATTTCTTACTTTTTTATGGAAGTACTATCTAACAAAACTTTTTAATAATTTTGGCATACTTACAGTGTTATAGCCCATTCCGTTTCTGTATAATAACGTGCAAAACACGTTTTTTTTTTTGATAATTTTTTTTTGCTGACGGTGTTACGCAGTTTCTTCCATACAATGTAAATATTTATGTTTGAAATTTTTTTATACATATTGAAAAAATGCTTTTAGACTAAACCCACACCGAAGACGACAAAACGTTTTTTTTTTTTGTCGAGCGACAAGAAAACATTTTTTTCTATCCCATTTGTGTCGTGTTACGATTCACTTAGTATTTATGGGTTGAATAATAAGAACTTATGTACTTTTGCTCTATACGACACCTAAAAATGTTTTGTCGTCTTCGGTGTGGGTTCAGCCTTAGTCTCACAACACATAAAGTTAGAACTGTGCATCTATATTTTCATACGTTTATCGCGTTTTAGGCTTTCAGTGATTATAAAACAACAGTTGGTGAAACCCTGTGGTTATCGCAGCACATTTTATGTGCAGTGAACGTTGTACTTGTGTACATATGTGCATACATACAATGATTCAAAAGTCTGGAAGTGCTAATTTTTGTTAGATATTCACCATGTGCTTCAAGTAAAATTTTTTTTATTTTTTATACAAATTTTGTTCATGGTTTAACCAATATTATCTAAATAAAAGTTCACACTAGATACAAAATTTAGCAAAGTTTCATCAAAATTGCGAATTTTCTAATCTGAATTTTTAGAAAATGTTCGGGTATGCCGCTTTATTATACCTCATAAAATTTTAGTATAGTAAAGTGCAATTTTCAAACGTCTAAAAAATTGCGTTCATTTTTAATTTTTTTAAGGCGTTTTGCGCTTTTTTCGTATGCAATAATGGCGGTTCGCAAACAACTTTCAAAAAATCAACGCCAATTTTTACATTGAACTTCCATTATGAAAGAAAAAATGGCAAAAGACCGGTGTCAAAAAAATTATTAAAAAGCAACGGGAATTCTTAGTTGCTTCAAATATGCACTGCAATATTTAGTTTGAAATTTTTATGAAAATAATGAATAGCCCAAAATTTTGTATAAGTAAAGTTTTAAATTTTAATTAATATGGATTTGGTTTAAGCATAGACAATAGTTTTATAGAAAAAATAAAAAATTTTAATTTGAAAAACATTGTGAATATTCAAATATGCTCACCACTGGTCACTTTATATTACATACAGTACGAATGCCTAGTTAAATCTAGGATACTATTTTCATTATTATGTTTATGTTAAGTAATGTACATATATAAACTCTATATATATCTGTAGAACTGCATCATTAACGACTTTTTTATAATATTTTTGATAATTGCCCTTTTGTGAAATTTAATTTTTTTTTTAACTATCGTTGTTTAATTTAATCTCGCTTTTCTTTGATGCCTCATTTTTTAGGCGTACTTGTACATATGCGTGTCCCTAATGACACTCATCGTTATCGGCTGGTATATATTCTACAAACGATGGCAACGTAATAAGGAACGACAACTGCAGTTGCTAGCACAAATGCGCGACTCTTCGTCTGTGGGCGCGGGCGATATGACTGGGCTGCGTTTCCGTAAACGCGACAAAATGCTTTTCTACGGCCGTCGAATGCTGCGTAAAGTAAAGAACGTATCCGGCCAGGTGTACGGCGGACAAGGACGCAAACGAAAAGCAGTGATGCACTTCGCCAAACGTATACTGCAACTACGGCGGGAAAACATCCCAATGCTGCTGAATACTGCAGAGCCTCCAGCTGAGTATCTACAAGAGGCGATAGAAGGCAGCGATCGCGTGCCGCCTGACGCTCTCTATATGCTGCAAAGCATACGTATTTTCGGGCACTTTGAAAAACCGATTTTTCTGAAACTCTGTAAGCATACAGAAGTGCTGACGCTGCAGCCTGGTGATTTTCTCTTCAAGATTACTGACTCCGACGATAGCGTATTCATTGTGCAATCCGGTTTAGTGCATGTTTTCATATCGAACGCTGACGGCAGCACATTGTCGTTGAAGACTGTGAAGAAGGGCGAATCGGTGACATCGCTTTTGAGCTTCATCGATGTGTTGTCGGGTAATCCAAGCTTCTATAAAACCGTCACAGCGAAGGCAATGGAGAAATCTGTTGTTATACGCCTACCGATGCAGGTAAATATATAGTATGCTGTTTCCATAGTAGTCACTATCATTTTTATTGTATTCATATTCTCACGTAGGCTTTCCAAGAGGTATTCAACGAGAATCCCGATATTATGATACGTGTTATCCAAGTGATTATGGTGCGCTTGCAACGCGTACTCTTCACAGCACTGCGTACATATCTCGGTCTAAATTCGGAGTTAGTTCAAAGCCATATGCGCATTAAGAAGAGCGCTGGTGCCACAATTTTGAAGACGTCGCCGTTGTTAAGACGCTTCACGCACCCAGACACAATACAGCACTCTTTGTCGGATTTTATGCCGCCACCAGATATGTTGGTTGACTTGGCGCATGACTCGGAACGTCACATGGGCATACAAGCGGCGCTGCCAAATGCGCAGCAAACTGGTAATGGCGCTAATGCGAATGGTGGTGGAGGTGGAGGTGGGGGTGGGCAGCCGACACTTGCGAATTCGCGAGCGAACAGCATTGGTAATTTGGTAACGCGTCGCTATTCTTTGGTACACGCCGAAGCGTTGGCGAATGCGGCCAGTGCTGAATTGGCCAGCCTGCGCGGCTATGCATTGGACAGTTTCTTACGTGAACTCGGCTTGCCGGAAGAGGATCGCACGTTCATAGATCCTTACGTCGAATTGTGCGAAGTGGAGGCGAATATTCCATTGATCAACGAAGGAAACGTGGATGTGAGAAATGAATTTACAGTAATGTTATTTGATTTTACAGATTTTTTAATGCTTTCATTTCACATTTCAAGGATATCTGCATTTGGATTGTTCTCACGGGCGCTTTGAATGTGTATCAAAGTAGCGTGGATGTCACACGCACCGTAAAGACTGAACGTTCGGATGTGTATATTTACACGGTGCACCCAGGTGAAATTGTTGGTGGACTCGCTGTGCTGACGGGCGAGGCAAGCACGTACACAATAAAAACCAAATATATAACCCGACTTGCTTACATACGACGTCCTGGCGTTTATGCGTAAGTTCATATTATGTAAATTTTCCAACGTTTGTATGTAGTACATATATGTTTGTAAATTATGGATTTCTTTGTGTCGTATAGAATAATGCGCGAGCGCCCTCGTATCGTATTGGATCTCGGCAATTGTGAAGTGCGTCGTCTCTCGCCGCTGGTACGGCAATGCGATTATGCGCTCGATTGGATTTTCCTAGAGTCTGGTCGTGCCGTCTATCGACAGGAGGAGAATAGCGATAGTACTTATATTGTGCTAAGTGGACGCATGCGTTCTGTGATAACGCAATCAAGTGGTAAAAAAGAAATAATAGGCGAGTACGGCAAAGGTGATCTTGTGGGTCTCGTGGAAATGATAACGGAGACATGTCGCACAACCACAGTGATGGCTGTACGCGATTCAGAACTTGCTAAATTGCCGGAAGGCCTTTTTAATGCTATCAAATTGCGATACCCGATTGTTGTAACAAAACTCATAAGCCTTTTGAGTCATCGTATATTGGGCACGATGCAGACGCGCCATGGGAGCACAGCGGCGCCCTTGGAGGCGAATCCGGTAACACACAAATACTCTACTGTAGCGCTGGTGCCGGTAAGCGATGATGTACCGCTAACAGCATTCACCTACGAGCTATATCACTCATTGTGCGCAATAGGTTAGTAAAGTAAGAAAACGAAAAACAAAATTTAATTTACATATCGTTGTGGAAATTTATAAGGGCTCGCAACTTTTTTTTCGAAAGGCGATTTTTTTTCATTTCTAGTAGCTTATACTAAACCACATCGTCTCTAAACATTTCAGAGCCATAACTGAAACCCCATCGATTTCATGGCACTTTTAAAACAGCCCTACGCTCCGAAATGTATGTGTTGAAGGTTTGGTTTTGCTTCTGTAAACAATGGATATTGTTTATTTAGAATTCGGCATAAGTCACTTCATGCCTCTGGTACATTAATGACCGGTTACTTTTATCTGGACGCGTCCGTTATTCGTTCAACTTCATCAACCAAAGGTGAAAGGCTTTGTCATTACTTTATGACAACAGGAAGATTTATAGATGCATTCGAATAAGAGTAACCGGCCATTTAAGCACAAAAGGTATGTAGTGACTTATGCCACTTTCAAAAACTATAGTAATAATATTTTGGCGCTCACATTTTTGCTAAGTATTTGGCCGAGCTTCTCCTTTAATTTGTGATGTGCTCTTCATAATAAAAATAAATCTTTTTCGTGATTTGCATAGCAGAGAACAGAAAATGATGTCCAATACTCAATGTATATTTAACTTCTGCGGATGGATTAACAAGTATACATTTATAATTAGTTTACTTATTTGTTTTAAATATGTGCGAGTATAATTTTTAATTTTAACCGTTTTGTAAATTGCATTTGAGGAAGAAGTCGGAATATTGCACACAAGCTTTTCAAAATGCTTTCTTCCCTTCTGTATCAGCAGACTCGAAAAATTTCAAGTTTTTTTCCCCTTTTCTTCTACATCTTCAGGTCCCACTTTGCGTCTAACATCCGAAGTGGTTCGCAAACAGCTCGGCATGCACATATTCGAACCCAGCAACGAATATCGTATGACCTCTTGGCTAGCGCAGCAGGAAGATCGCAATACCATCACTCTATATCAGTGTGACTCTTCTCTCAGCGCTTGGACACAACGTTGCATGCGCCAAGCGGACGTCGTACTTATCGTGGGACTTGGTGATCATGCGCCAATCGTTGGTAAATTTGAACGAGAAATCGATCGTTTGGCTATGCGCACACAAAAGGAGCTCGTACTGCTTTATCACGAGTCGATTAATGCGAAACCGAAAAATACACTGCAATGGCTGAATGTCAGGCCCTGGGTGACCAAACATCACCATTTGCAGTGCCCTAAGCGCATGTTCACGCGCAAAAGTCAATATCGCATTGTAAGTGAAATTGCTAGCATCAGCAGATTTATATTTAAATAAAAAAATTTACATTCAAATTTTTTTTTTATATCTCACAGAACGATCTGTACAGCCGTGTATTAATGTCCGAGCCAAATATGCATTCGGATTGTTCGCGCCTGGCACGTTGGCTGACTGGTAACTCAATCGGGTTAGTTTTAGGTGGCGGCGGTGCACGCGGCGCTGCACATATCGGTATGTTAAAGGCTATACAAGAAGCTGGTATACCGGTAGATATGGTGGGAGGTGTTAGCATTGGCGCGCTAATGGGTGCACTCTGGTGTTCAGATCGTAATGTAACAGCCGTTACACAGAAGGCTCGGGAATGGTCAAAGGTGCAACAATTAAAAACAATTATAATTCAACTAATTAACTTACTTTTGCTTTGCATTGCATTTTTTTTTTGCAGAAAATGACAAAATGGTTCCTGCAATTGCTCGATCTCACTTATCCAATTACATCGATGTTCTCTGGACGTGAATTCAACAAAACCATTCGTGATACCTTCGGTGATGTGGCCATTGAGGATTTATGGATTCCGTATTTTACACTAACGACTGATATTACCGCAAGCTGCCATCGCATACACACAAATGGTAAGTTGATTTTGCTTCTACATACGCGCGCTTCCCCTCTTTAACTATCATTTCATGCTAAACACAAATAGAATATAAATATTTATGAAAGTTTCGAGTGGTTTTCGTAAACACAAGTAGGATGTAAGCGCTGGCGTTACCCACCTCTTTATAATTTTTTTTCTTAATTTTAATTATTGTCTTTGTATGCGGTCGCGTGACGTTAATTCGACCGCATATGGTTATTATTTTTCTTTAAAGTTTTTATTGCACAGTCTTTCTTGCGTTAAAAAAAATATATATTTGATGTAAAATTTTATCCCACCATTTTATTTAAATCTAAACTTAAAGAAGTAAATTAGTTAACTGCATAATATACGCTTATTTCCTCCTTACATTAAGAGGTGCCGAAAGACCTAAGTGCGACTACTTATGTTTCAAAAGCCTGCGCGACCGCTTTAAGTATGTATAAACCGTGAAAAATTGGCAGAATTCACTTTATATAAGATTTTCATTTTTGACATATTCTGAGATTTTTACATTCCGATATTTTATACGTCATAGTTCTGTTGTATACCTATATCTTGTTATATTAGCATAACGCATTGATACGCCGTTGAACTTCACGTACAGTGAAAAGGAAAGCTTTCCTTCGAGAAATAGTAAAAAAAAAATAAACATAAAACGCCGCCATTTTGTATGCAAAATCGTAGTAAAGTAGATTAATATTTATCGATACATGTACATACATAGTTTTGCATGACTTGTAAACAAACTCAGTTTTCATATTAAATTTAAAAAAATTATAATAATTTTTCAAAATTTTTAAGAATGTTTTCTAAATTGAGAATGTTTTTAAAAAATGCTGCTTTTGATTCATTTAATAGAAAAAATCGTATTAAATTGTACGGTAGCATTTAACAATTAATTGTTAATAACTTTTTTAAACAATTAACAAGATAATTGAAAAATTAATTGATTAACGCCCAACACTGCTTTGAGGCATGGTGTAATAATAAAAGGTATCGTCAGTAGCGACGTGTTTGTTGTAATTTTGACAAGTTCGGGGCGCTTTGCTTTGCAGTGTTGTCTATTCTCCTTTATATACTACTATTATTTAGGAAAATAGTATCTAAAATACTACATTTTAGTAACTCGTTTCATCGCGATTGTTTTTTCAGAAATTAGTGCTTTTATAACATCATTAATATTTAAAATTGCTGGATTTGTCAAATTTTTGTCAACAAAATGTTAGTAAATAAAAGATAT